TTATTATTATTATTATTATTATTATTATTGAGAGTCTCTACAACATGAGAACTGCCTGTTGGGTCAGCTCAACTGTGGATATGGTAGTGGGGTTTTCTTTGGTGCAGAAACAGGAGTTCTCAGGTGAAGTAAGAGGATAATTTCTAAGTGAGATTTGCCACTGAAAGACTTGGGATTGTACTTAAGGTGTCAATTTGTTTTCCGTGCTCTGTGGAAGGGTTAGGGTTAGCTTTAGCAGGGTTTTGGTGATTGATTTTTTTTTTAAATTATTATTTAATTTTGGATAGGACTGCATGTGAATTCTTACATTTCAGGGGATAATTGAAGTTTTATTGCTGATGTAGAATGGTTATGAAAAAGAACGAATTACTCAGTTTGGCTAAAGCTTTATAATAAGCACTTACTTGAACACCTTGCACTTCTCAGATTCTTCTTGCCTTCTGATGCTTGCTCTTTCATTACTCATAGACTCCAAAGGAGGTATCTAGAAATTAAAAAGGATTTTGGTAGTTCTAACTTTACTCATGGAGAAAAAAAAATAATAACGAAATCCACATCACAATTGAGTTTTCTTTTGGGCTATTTTAGGTTAGTAATATGTTCTCATTTTATATATTTTGAGTTCAGGATATACAACATACAGTTATTTTAAAATGAGTACTCACAGCCTAATTAAAAGTATCTGCCTGATGTGTGAATTTGTGTTGAGAATGTTTTGGGGATAGAGTAAGAGAAATGTTTTTTGGTATTTTTCTTGAAAGTTGTTATCTTTTTCCCTGAAAGATGGTTGACCCTACTCTAGCAGAAATGGGAAAGAATCTGAATGAAGCAATGAAGATCCTCGAAGACAATCAAAGGTACGTGCAAAGGATGAAACTACAGAAACAATGGTGGCTTATGCTAAAGGGGAGATTATTAGAGTCTCTCTCATTGAGCTGGAAAGAACTTGTTTTCCTAGTGGTTTAAGGTCATATTGCCATTCTGAAGCTTACACCTGTACAGATCACCATTGTTTCTCAAATGATGGGATTTAAAGAAATATGCATATGTTTTTATGTATGTTCTGTAGTATTCACAGCAGGTCCAAAGAGTCTGTTTTTTCAGAGATGTTAGATACTTCTTCCCTATTACTGTGCAAGTATCTTTTAATTCTGATGTATATGAGACTCTTCTGTAAGTTTGGCATTTTCTATCAAAGATCTAAAAAACCAAAACTTAGGAGGTTTTTAATTCAGTCAGAGCCAAACTTTTGTGTTGGTCTCATCTGATTTATTTATGAAACCGTTGTCAGTGAAATGGATTGCAGAAATGTCAGTATGTATTTCTGCAAGTCAGCGTCAACTTCATATTTGATGTTATAAAACACAAAATAAATACACAGTTTGTTCATGTGTTTTTAACTTAGAAAAGTGGAGGAAGAAAATGAAAAGAAGTATGCACGGAAGGATATTCCTGGACCACTCCAAGGCAGGTAGGCAACAACCGTTCTTAGATACTGCTCTTTCCTTTTCAGAATCTGAAAACTACATGTAGCATATTTGTTTTCCAAGCAACTTCTGTATTAATGCAAGCATGAACATTTACCAGGCCAGGCATTATTTCCACCTTTTCCACACTCATACAGGGGAAAAAAAAAAGATTCCTTGTTCTTGGTGACTGAAATTGTAGTCATTGAAGTATTGGTGTGTACAGCTGTGATTGAGATTTAAATATATATAAACCTGTGCTATAAAATAAAGATTCATTTAAAAACTCAGATAAAAAATAACTGAGACTGATAAGGTAGATAACCTTTAAAAAACCCAGAACTACAAAACAAAACAGAAAACCTCCACCTTTTCAGCACAGCTGTCTTACGTGGAGCTCTTGTGCATGAGGCAGGTATGATCGTTGTACCTGAAAACTAAGATTTAAATTGCTTGTAGTCTTTTTGGAAGAGGATCCTGTAGGAGCCCAAGCACTTCAGAAAATTTTGCAAAATCTATTTAAGTCTTTTGTATACATTAACTAAACTTGTTTTTGAGTCAAGACACTGAAGGAGCTTTTCTAAGAAGAAAAAACAATTTCAACTGTCAAAGTCTAAGTTCTTAGACTACTGTAAGTTTTAGTTGGAATTATACAAGTTGAAGTGTCTTCCAGTTTTACCACATTAGAGTGCATCATGTCAGAAGTCTAATGTAGCTTTTGTATGCCAAGAACTAATATTTGTAGGTAAATGTTTGAAGGATGTGCTGAGTTTGTGAGCTAAGGCTGGATCATGTGAAGAGAAGGCTGGAACCTTAGCTATTACCTTACTTTGCTGTGCAACAACAAGCAACTGAATGTTGTCAAGTCAAACTTTTCAGTCCAAATTTTCAGATTTCAGTAGATTTGTTTTAACTGTGGGTCTGAGTTCATACTTACTGAGGTGTTTTGGTTTGGTTTTTTTTAATGTGTTTTTTGTTTTCCTCTCCCTGGTACACCAGTGGCCAGGATATGGTGAGCATACTTCAGTTAGTTCAGAACCTAATGCATGGAGAGGAAGAAGAGGAAACTTCACAGACCTACCGGTAAAGCTGTTATGATTTATTGTATGTGGAAGACAGCTGATTTAGTTATGTTATGATTATTATAGAACTTACACATTAAAGTGCTTTAAAGTGTAAACATTTTGTGCAACCGTGTAACTTTTTAAAGGCAACTTACGTTACATAGTGAACCAGAATACTGCATTAGACTTTCTTAAAATTATAAAGCTTTCATTACTAAATTGAGTTATACAAAGGAATTGTTTCTGATGGGACATTTCATTTTGTTTGCTATTTTCTGAAAGTTGTTTTAATTCTGAAAGTCTTACAAAACTTGGAATGCCATTAATTTTTTTACAACCTCTCCTTGCAGATTTTAAAGAAAAAAAAAATTTTAAAAGAAATAAAATTGGTTTCCATTTTTCTGTAAAATGGAAATAATACTAACTAATCTGGAGAAGGTTATTGAAAAATTAATATCTAAAAACCAGTATGGAGATTAAAAAAACAATACAAACTAAAAAAAAAACAACAGACAACAAAACTCTGAACAAACCAAGGAAAGTTATGCCTCTAAAGATATTAATAATGTCTCCTGAGATTTATCTTCATGAGGCGAGAAAGGTAAGTGTTTAATACACTTAAGTCCCAGTGCAGATAAGGTGCTTAGTTCCAACTCATGCTTAGCTGATAGCCTGAAAAAGAAGCGGAGGTGTTATCAGGAGCAGCTGAGCCAAGTGAAGTGCAAGTGCTTTTATCTACACTGGCATTTTAGCATGTAACACACAATGGCAGGAAACTTAACTTGTACATCAACAAATTCTGCCACTCTCCAGTGAAAATACGCAAACCTCAAATTACTGTAATGGTCATGACTTGTATCTAGCTGGCAGTTACTCTCTTCTTGGCTTGCAGACTTCAAAATGTTGGTGAGCAGGGTCACATGGCTCTACTGGGACATAGTTTGGCTGCTTATATATCAGTGCTGGACAGGGAAAGACTGAGAAAACTCACAACAAGGATCCTTTCTGATACTACTCTCTGGCTCTGCAGGCTTTTCAGGTGAGTCACTGTGAATAACTTATGTATGAGTAGGTAGTGATAATTGTTTAAAAATATGTGTAGCCAGACTAAGGAAGTCAACAAAAGAAGCTGCTGTGCCACAGACTTGGAAATATTCTTTGAAGGGTCTGAAGCACATCACATAATTTAAAAAAAAAAAAGAGTATATATTTCTTGTTCCGTGGCAGGAACTTATTAGTAACATGGTTGCCATAAAAATCCTATTATAAGGGCTATATAATGGAGCTAAGGGCCAAAGTACAGTTGCAGACATACAGTTGGTCAAACATTTAGCTAAATTCTTATTTGTTGAGGCATATGCTATGTTGCTGAGGGTTGGCGTACTTCATAGTTTTAAAAAAAAAATTTCAGTTAAATTCTCTTTTGCTCTTTCTGGATCTGGTTTATTTTTTTCAGGTATGGTAGGTGGCACTACTGAAATTTACAGTACAGTGAAATCTTTCTCAAATGCCTGTTTCATCAAGTAGCATAGATACCTTAAACTGTTCCACAAGAGAAGAATGGAAATCAACTGTGTTGGGAGTGTTGGAGTGGGAGGGATTTGCTGATTAAAAATTCTTTTTTATTTTCTTCCTGATGCAAAAATACCCAAGACAACGCTTTCTCCTTCTCATACTACTGCATCTTGCAGAAAATCTTGCCAGTGCTGCTGAGGAGAAGATTTTTCTTTTTTAGCATAGTACAAGATGAAGCAGCAAAAATATAACTGAAGTTAGCTCAAATTTAGTTGTTAGAATTATGAAGAGTTTTTCTTACATTGATGGGCTCACCTCTGTGACAATTATTTTATAAATTCAATAATTTTCTTTATCTGTCTTTGACTTAAAGATGTTGAAACCTTGTCCAATGATGGAATTTGTGAAGTTGCAGGTAATCCAGCTATTTTGACAAATGTATGTGCATACATTAAGAGTTCCTTCTTCAAGAGTGTGCAGCCTTCCTGGACTCCTTTGCCCTTCAGAACTGCCTCCCAAGGAACTCTGCCAACCAAGTCCCTCAACAGGCCAAAGTCTGCCTGCCAGCAGTCCAAAGTGGCAGTTCTGCCAGCCCCCGTCCTTGCTTCTCCAAGGATTGAAAACTCTATCATTTCATGATCACTGTGCCCAAGACAGCCTCCAACCATCACATCCCCCACAAGACCTTCTCTGTTTGCAAACAGCAGGTCCAGCAGGGCACCTTCCCTTGTCGGTTCCTTCACCAGCTGTGTCAGGAAGTGATCTTCCACACAGTGCAGGAACCTCCAGGACTGTTCCCTCTCTGCTGTGTTGTATTTCCAGCAGATATCCAGGTAGCTGAAGTCCCCCACAAGTACAAGAGGAAGTGATTGCAAAGCTTCTCCCAGCTGCCTATGGAATATTTTGTCTATCTCTTCATCCTGGTTAGGTGGTCTATAGCAAACTCCCACCATCGTATCTGACTTGATTAAATTGACATACCTACTGTTTTCACTGTTGCTGTTTCCTTTTCTATACTTAAGACAGCTGAGGGATTGCCCTCAGTGTGGAACACTCATACCTTATCTCTTCTTTGGTTACTTTGCTCCTGTTTCTTGACTATAAATGTTAATGTGCTGACCTGAGTTTGATTCTTAGAAGGGTTAAAAAAGATGGGGAAGAGCAGACACAGACACACCCAGAAGTCCCAAGGAAACACATCTAATAAATGAGATTGAAGGCAAAATAGCTATAAAATCATAAAATATTCCAGGGCATAAATACTCTTCATTTATGTAACTCACATATTTAAAACATCTGGATTTTCAAAGTCTGTAAAATACAAATTACATCAGTAATTTGGGATATTACAAAATACCTTGATTTGTGATTTCATAATAAAGTTTGCAAGTTTCTGCCTATTTACCTTATTTCATGTGTCTCTTCCCAATTTTGCTAACTTAAAGAATTTCAGTTTGCATTCTCATTAAAATTAGCAGTCCAGAATTTACGTATGTATTAATCCCAGATGAGGCCTTTTGTGTGTTTACTTCCCAGCTATGCTCTTGGTAAGCAAGGTTTTGAACTCTGAAAAGTGAACCCTTAGGAACCCAGCTGTTTTTCCTTTCTTACTTTATCTCTGAGACTAAGTATATGCTAGGCAGTTCTCTCACTTTTAATCTAGGCAGTTCTCTCATTAATCTTGCCAGTTTCCTTCTGCTCTACTTTATCCTGGGAAAACCAAAGGGGTTTTTTAATTTAGCTTCTTTGTCTTCTTGTGAGCTCCTTCGCTGGGCAGTGTTACTTTAGTCACTAAACTAGCTCTTGGTTTTGTTGGTCATATTGACTTGCCTTTTCTTGCAGGTATGAAAATGGATCAGCATATTATCATGAAGATGATCGTGAAGGTCTCCTAAAAATCTGTCGACTTGTTATTCACACACACTATGAAGATTACACAGTAGAAGGATTTAACGTATTATATACTAAGCAGCCTGTCATATACATGAGTTCTGCAGGTAGAAGTGGCTTGGGCCAAGCTCTCTGCAATCAGGTAAAGTGAACCAGTTGGGGTTTTAGCTGGAGGTAGAACTTACCTGGCTTTGTACTGCCTACTTGAAATTTAGATTTTAAAAATATATCCAGACTTCTCCTGCAAGAGACTGGTATTTGCAATACAGTCTGGTGCACTTCTGGCAGCAGCCTTGTGAATTAATTGGGACCAGTGAAGGTTTTCCTTTAGATCCATGTGTCTGCGTGGAACTTCCACTGTTAGTAGCATTGGGAAAAAACTGGAAGAAACTTCTTCACTTCTGTGTTGACTGAATGCTTGTATCTCCAAGGAAGCTGAGCAGGCTCTCTCTGCAGCCCTCTTGTTCCTGCCACACATTTGCTTGATCAGTGTTCCTCACGAGAAGATTCCCTTCATCCTCATCTCTTCTTTGCCTTTCTGTGGATGTAGTAGACTTTTATAGCTTATAAAATTATACACATTTCTAAGATTTAGCATGATGCGTCTGCCTGTATGAAAAGGGACGTTTTGAAGAATAAGGAATGAGCTTTGGCCTCAAAAAAGTTGATTTTAGGAAAAGCATAACTTCGGTGATTTTGAAAACAGTTGTTTTTCCTGGTGGTAGAAACAACATTAATGTGAATAAAAAGCAACACAGCAGGGAGTGGGAGAGGAAATGAGCCTGAGATGAAACCATGCTTTGATGCCAGCTAAATATCTGCAAGCTAGTAATACAAAAATGTTACACAGTGTGTTGGTATTGCTTTATTAATTGTGATTTCCAGCGTAATTATTAAACAAGAATCGGTATTTTGGGAGGCTTTTTCTTCTGAGTACAGAATAGATACTGTTAGTAACAGTGGTGCCTTATCTTTTGTTTATAAGGTAACCCGTCCACATTAGGTGATCACTGAACTTAAAAGTGATAGCATTTTATCTTAGATTTAGAGAAGTAATGTGTATTTTGGAGCAGACAATTGTAACTGAGTAGTCAGACATGAATTCAGTTTCTGTTCAATGGAAGGATAAAACCAATCTTGGCTGTAACTATAGTTTTCTGAATTTGCTGAACCTCCTGTCCAGTGGTGAGTGCGATCCACTAGATTTCACTTGTTTAGTGATCTTCCAAGTTAAGGACCAAAATGTAAGAGACCTTGATTCCCCAGCACCCCTCATGTCAATGATGCAAACACTATTTAGAATTGGCCTCCATAGCAAAGGAAGAACTTCAGGCGGAGCAGCAGGAGCAGTCAGCTGAGCCGTATGATCAGTGTAGTCAGGTTGCTCTACTCAGTAGTAAAGTGACTGTGAGCCTCCAGTGGAACATGGCCCATGCACACGGCACACATTTGTAGGACGTAGGAATTGAAAGAGTGATGAAGAATAAGAGGATTCAGTTTAGGCTGTTGTACAGGGCATGGGTGTCTCATTAGAAAAACTTAATGCAGTTGACGTGCTAACCAAAAGTTGATTTCTGTTTTTTTTCCACTTTCTCCTGTGCTTTCTTTTCTCTGCTGCTAATTTGATTATAAATTTTAGCAGAAAACTTACTTTATAATGCAATATCCAGCTTGTTATTGTCATGTTCACTATTTTTTGTGTTACTCTGTATATTTCTGTGAATGCTTCAAATAAAGATGTCTCAGTTGTTAAAATGCCGTTGTTTTTATTGCAGCTAGGGTTACCCCTTTCTTGCATGTGCCGTGTGCCTTGTAACACCATGTTTGGATCTCAACATCAAATGGTAAGTTTGTCGTCTTTAAGAGTGCTTTGGTTTTTGGTGTTTGGTGTTTGGTTTTGTGCTTTTTTTTTAAACTCAAATGAAGGTATGTTGTTAGGAAAAGCTTATTAATGTACTTTTTCAGCCTTGTGAGTCTTCTGTGTTATAACTGAACAAATCGTAGATTGAAATATTCTAAAAAGTCAGCAGCTTATATTTTGGTCTTGTCATTTGCAAGATGGTTTTAATGGCATATAGCAAGGAGCTTTTTTAATTGAAGACTTCTAGAATATGTGTAGTCAGAGGTACATTTAGAAACTACAGTGTATTTGTGGTGTATTTTTCACAAATGCTTTATCTAACCTTCACGTCATCTTACCTTTGAAAAGAAGAAACTGCAAGCCACAAATGAAGACATTAAGAATGTCTTCCAGAGCTTCAAAATTACTTCTATTTTAACTCTTAACACATTTTTCCAGTTCAGCAGAAAAAATTCTGTATTGTCTGACAAACATATTTATAAATACGTGTGTTTTTCTTATTGATAACAGGATGTTGCTTTGTTGGACAGATTGATTAAAGATGATGTTGAGTCTGGAAAACTGCCTTTGTTGCTTGTGGCCAATGCTGGTGAGTGCTATGGGCAAACAATAACCAAAAAAGCACACTATTTCATTAATATATATAAAATCCGAAATAAAAATACATTTTCTTAAACAGCATAGTGGTTGCTTGTAAAAATAGCTGTTATCTTGGCTTAGTTTCCTTTAGTTGAGGTCATACTGTGAACATATTAAAAAAGTCTGAAGTTCTTATCTGAGGCTCCTGGTTTTTAGTGCTGGACCATCTGTTTTTCTGTGGATTTTAACATATATTGTCAAGCAAAACAAGTATCTTTATTTCTCATCTAGAATTCCAATTGTTCATAAGTCATGATGAACCAGATATGAATAGCATGTAGTGGACTCTTTTTAAACACCCTCTTTCCTGCTCTTGTGTGACTTTTTTGACAACAGTACATTTTATGGTAGAGTCCTAGTTTGCACACTTATCCTTTTGACTGCCTTTTTTCCTTTTCAACACAGGGACACCAGGTGCTGGGCATACAGATAAACTTGGCCGACTGAAGGAACTTTGTGAGCAGTATAATATGTGGCTCCATGTTGAAGGGTATGAAACTTGAAATTCTGCATAACTGCATTCATGAAAATGCATGACTAATGGACAGCACATGATTTTACAGCTAGTAGAGAGCCATAGGACCATCTTTGTTTTTGTCATATTAACATTCTCTGTTATTATAATTTTGCCACTCTGTGAGATACAGATTGTTTTACATAGACAGGAATAATTATTTGGAGTGGTTATTTCAGCATAGGTGAGCGGTTACTTTTACTCAGATGCTAATCTTATCTGCCCTTGCTTTGAGGAGCTTGGAGTAAGAATAAAAATACCTTATAGAACAAGTCAGGGGAGACATTGTACAATGATTATTGAGAATGAGAAAGGAGAATGAAATGAGTGTGAAGGAGGTGACACTTTTAATAAAGGTTATCAAGAAAACTGCTGCAAGTGCTATGTGCAGCATAAATGGGAGGAGGATTAAACCAAGAGGAAAAGAAATTCCAAGAACTTGGACAATATTTTGGTTTTGAGCCTGCAGCAGAGACTCTGTTTCTCCTGATATTTCACTGTATAGTGTTAGATTATTTCTGACACAAAATTGATGGTGAATTATGGGTAGGACTTTGGGAGATTTCCCCAAAGTTGGACTGAAACATTTTTGGATTGAAATGGATTTTTGCTTTTGTGTTTTCAATCTCGGAATACCAAGTAGCAACATCTGCTGCATTATTAATGAAAAATATGTGAACAAAAATTACCTCCTTTTACACGTCAACATGAAATATTGAAACTGAAGATTAAAATGCTATCTCTTAATACATATTTAATACATGCTAAAACCACCTTATTTTTCTAGTGTGAATCTGGCAACTTTGGCTTTGGGCTATGTCTCCTCTTCTGTACTGGTATGTTTTACTATATCTAGAAATTTAATAATGTGCTTTAGATTTTAAGGTCGTGATCTAATAAAAATATATATTCTGCTTATTGTAATAAACTTCAGGCGGCTACAAAATGTGACAGCATTACTCTTACTCTGGGTTGCTGGCTGGGTCTCCCGGCTGTCCCTGCAGTGACGCTCTACAGGCATGAGGATCCATCTTTGGTATGTTCAGCTTCTTGGTCCTTATTCTCAAGATCCCAAGACTTTAATTTTGATCGTGGTGTGGTGTCTTATTCTTCATAAGAATCTGAATTACAACTTGCAAAACTCCCCTAATTAAGCCATGACACATTCCATAAGCTAGCAAAAAGGGAATAAATGAAGAGAGGTTAACAGTAATTTATTTATTGTTTGTTTTCCTCTTTAGTCCTTAGCAGCTGGGCTGACATCGAGTCAGCCCGTTGAGAAGCTCCGTGCCCTGCCGCTGTGGCTCTCCCTGCAGTACCTGGGCCACGATGGAATTGTGGCGAGGATAAAGCAAGCCTCACAACTCGTAAGCAACAGCTTGTTGACACATTGTTTGTGGATACTTCTGCTTCTTGGAGTGTGAGTTGGAGACTAGTCCTAAGAATCCTCACCATGGGATTCAACAGCTTGAGTCTCTAAGCAGAAACAAAGTTCACATAGCAAGGATAGTACAAGCAGTGTCCAGATGGCTATCACAGAACACTGTTCCACTTCTGAATGCTTTTATAATAGGTGTTAATACATCTTCTTTATTATTGTGGTGTGGTGTAGAAGAATCAGCTACAAATCTTGTAGCTGTTGACAGTATGGCGCAGTTAATACCATGTTACAAACCAATTATGAAAGCAGAGCAAAGTGTTTGGGGGAGGGATGTGCTTTTGCTATTAGATTGTATATTTTATGTAGGTTTTTAATGAGAAATATTTAGTCTTTGTTCTTTCTAAACAGTAAAATAACAATCACTTTTTTTGGTCACTTCTCTATTTTAACTATTTTGCTTGAAAGCTGTTCAGAGAAAGACTTTCTTACATTCCTACTCTATTTAACATAATATTGATTTAAGTAATAGTAAATTATAAATGCCTGACAAAAAGGACTTGTAAACATTTCTTCAGATACCATGACAGGTGCACGATTTCTAAGTCGAGTCCTTACCCTGCTAAGAATTAAGGTCCAATAAAATGTGTTAGTTAAAAAATGCTTTGTTTGTATGTAAATCATTTTTCCTTAAGGTACAGGACTTAGTAAAAATGCAAAGAAGGGCAAAATGAAAATGGCAAGTTTCTGTAATGGTTAGTGAAGAAGCTATTGGCATGAAAGACCTGAAGGTGTGACAAAGTATCATTAGTCATTAAGATTTGATAGCATCTAAGATTTATCTTCGCTTTTATAGTAGTATATTAATAGTCTTAAACCATAATGTAAGAATGTCTTTTCTAATGAAAAGAATTTAGAAACCATCGTTACTAGTTGCTATGGTAGCTTTGAGAAAATTAACTCTTCTGCTACGCACTGTGCTTCAGTTGGTCACTGGAGTTTTAATATCTGTGGAACTTTGTCAACAAATGCACCAACACCTTATTTTAATGAAAATCACTTTGTAGTCCATGTTTTTTCCATTGCATTCTAAAATTACAAATAAGAACTGGATGAATCTCGACACATCGTAGGGGTTTGTTCAGAAATCGAAATGATGGTAGTGACTGATGTTTTTCAGAATAATTTCCAACTTCTAAAACTGTGTGTTTGTCTCTTCATTTTATTTCCCTTCTGCTGTTTTAGAGTCAGAGGTTGCTGGAAAACTTGAAAAACCTGGATTTCATTAAAACTTCGGTACAGTCTACATTTAATACTTCAGTTTTATAGCTTAGTCTCTGCCTGATAAATGATAAGAGTAACTTTGATTTTAAAAATTATTTAAAATTTTTACTTAAATCATAGCCGTTGTTGTGAAGATGCTTGGTATCTTTCTAGTTAAGTTCTGGTGTTCAGTGGAATTGTGTGGCTTGGTTGTGTGTGACCTCTAGATTGTATTTGCTCCGCCGCTGTGTACTCCTGCGCTCAAGTGGAGCCGACAGAACAACATCCAGAAATTGTTTCCAGAGGTTAATTTATTTCCATTCAAAACAAGTATTTGGTCAGTAATGCATTTATGAAACCAGTGTCTATAAGCCTCTCTAATACCTTCTGGCTTCATCTTAGCCTGCTGTTGAGATGATACTGTGAACCCTGTGAAATAGCATGCAAAAATTATTGCAGCTGAGGCTTTTACACCAGAAATAGTTTTAGAAATCACATGTAATGTATTCATTCCAAATGCAGTTTCTGTGAGTGTTCTGTCCAACAGGGTTTGGGGGTTTTACTCCTCTCCTCCCCCCATTCTAATTGACACTTGATTTATAGAAAATAAATGCAGCTCAGTTTTCTGGGGCTATAGGTAATTCATGGGTCATTCTGAGTGACAGTGACCATTTTTGTACAATTTGTTTTTCCAACATGATTAGTGGCCTTGAGAGTTCAAGTTACTGTAGCACTTCCCTCTTCTACTTAAACAAATCTTGCTGTTTTAGGATTGTGAAATGTAGTCTCAGATTGCCTCCAAAGTTGTCCAATCCACTTCTCCTACCCCTAAAGCAGGTTAAATTGTAATCCTCTTATTCCTGCT